ATAGATAGATAGATAGATAGATAGATAGATAGATAGATAGATAGATATCATCTATCTACCATTATCATGGTAGATGATAGATAGATAGATAGATAGATAGATAGATAGATAGATAGATAGATAGATAGATAGATAGATAGATGTGGATTGATGGATAGATAGATGGATAGATGGATGGATGAATGGATAGATAGATAGATGTGGATGGATGGATAGAAAGATGGATAGATGGATAGACAGAAAAATATATAATCTTATTTAATTAGATTAGTTAAGAACATGGAATTGCCTAATAAAAAAAGCTAAATTGGCCATTGTTTTTTCTTTTTCCCTCCTAGATCTCATTCTATACCAAGATGAAATCCATCGCCATGAATATCTTCCTTTCTCTGTTGATTGGTAAATGCTTGCCATTCTTCTTCATCTTTGGTCTTTTCTAGGGAGCAGGGGTGTCAAACTTGCTGTCCTCACGGCATCGTCACGTGACCTATCAGGACTTCCCCCCCCTTCGCTAAATCGGGTGGGGGTGGAGCCAGCATGTGACACATCCAACCCTTGACCAGCGAGTTTGTCACCCCTGATTTAAGAGTATTTTGGGGAATCTGTCAGGTGCAAAAGGTCAGGTCTACCCAACTAAACTGATTTATTGCCTATATGCACAGGAGTCTTCCCAACTAACAATTAGCACTTGCTTGGTATTAGATAAGGTTCAGAGGAGTTTATGGCGGGTTGGACTTAGTTTGCTTGTGGCTATGTAAGGATTCTAGGCAGATCCCTTTTTAATTCTGCCTCCAGGTTCTGCCAGTCCTTCTGACCTTTCTCATAAATCTGCGGTGACAGAGATAGCTCCCTTCACCTTGGGGGTAGGCTAATGTCCAACTTTTATCCCTAATTCTATTTCTCCCAATGGTTGGTGGTCTCACATCTCTGGTTGCACAAAGCAAAGAACAACTTCAGCAACCAGTTTTCTTAAGTTATAAGCAGTGTACTTGCCATTGGAAAGAGATAACACATACCTCCACATCACCTTTTTAGATGCTTCTCTGAGGCAGAGCCTTTCCCCAGACGAGATCCAACTACCACGGTAGATTTGTAGAAACTGGATTTGAAAGTTAATATCTACCATCCATTTCAGAGGTGGTATTCAGCAGGTTCTGACCAATTCTGGAGAACTGGTAGCAGAAATTTTGAGTAGTTCAGAGAACCGGCAAATACACCTCTAGCTGGCCCCGCCCCCATCTATTCTCTGCCTCCCGAGTCCCATCTGACCAGCTGGGTCTTCCTTTGTTGCCTTGCACAGGAGAACGGAGCTGGAAATCAGGGGTGGGAAGGGAATGGGGATTTTGCAGTATCCTTCCCCTGCCACGCCCACCAAGCCATGCCCACCAAGCCACACCACACCGCATCCACAGAACCGGTAGTAAAAATTTTTTTGAATCCCACCACTGAATTCCATTTCCAAAAATTTAGAATGCTTATCTCATGTGGCTAAGCCAATCACGAGAAGAGAGGCGTAGTCATTCATGAGATTGGTCCTTTGGGACATGACATGAGGGAGCTGGGGTCCTGAGAAAATTGGGCAGTGTGTTTGAACTACTAGTAGGGCTGCATATCATTAAACCACTGGTTTTAAATGAATGTTTTATGAGCCAATGAGTGCCCTCGCCTACTCAATGAATGATGTAGTGCAGAAGAGACGTGGAGAAAGGATTGTCTCTTCTCTATTACATTCTCTTCTCAATAGCATCTTTAGAACTGGGAGGCAGAAATTGAGGCCTGCATTTTTTTTAACATCACTTGAGAATTATTATTTTTTCACCTCATGTTTGCAGGGTTCCCTGTTCTGAAGGCAAGTGACCCTAAAGGTGAGTAACTTCATAAGCTGATGTCTCGGGGCTTCCTATAAACTGGGCAGAAGACCTCTTCAAAATTCTACTGAAGATAGCATTAGCACTTAGACTTATATACTGCTTTACAGTGCTTACTCTAAGCAGTTTACAGAGTCAGCCTATTGCCCCCAACAATTTTGGATCCTCATTTTACCCACCTTGAAAGGATGGAAGGCTGAGTCAAAACCTTGAGCCTGGTGAGATTTGAACTGCCAAATTGCAGGCAGCCAGCAATCGGCAGAAATAGCCTGCAGTACTGCACTCAAACCACTGCGCCACCATAGCTCATTGTGAAAAACTAGACCAGGGATCCCAAACTCTTCATCTCATTGATGCCATCTTGATTCGTCAACCCCTAAACATTTATTATACAAAATAATTTAATAAATACTGTACTACTTTTAATTCATAGCACTATGAATAACAACCCCTTGGATATCCCATTGACAGTTGGGGGTGGGTGGGGTTCAATACTGACCACTTGGAAGATCTCTGAAGTAGACTATAGATGTCCCTGCTCAGCTTCAGTAGAGTTTCTAGGTGGGTGTTTGAGGTGGTGGGTTTGGAGAGATTTCTTTCAAGCCAGATGAAATCCCTCAAGGCATCATTGAGTTCAGCCAACAGGGATTAAGATGCGCTGATCTGCAGTAGGTTATTCCTGAGGGTCCTTTGAGTGACACGTCTGAGGAAGTGAGATATAAGAGTGGACAGGAAGCAAAACAGAGCTCAGACAGGAAGATTTACAATCTCAATAAGGTATGGGTAAACAAGTCCTCCAGATGTTTCCAAAATCACCTTCAGTGCCATTGTCTATGTTGGTTTTTATAGTTAGGGTTGCAGCTCAGCAACATTTGCAGAGCTATGCTCAAGAATAAAGCAAGGTTCATACCCTTGCAATTTTGCATTTAAACAAAACACGATGAACATATTTGGAACTTTGGGTTTCTGTCTTAAGCCTAAAGATATTTATCCATGTAGTAGGCTGTGTTGCTATTATCCTTCTCATCCTTCTCATCTTCTCATCTCTCCCCCCTATAGTATCTATCATTATCACTTATAGTCGTAGGTATCTTATGATTAATGATTGTAACTGTGATGCATGATATATGACAGTGATGGCAATGATGCCATAGGTTCACCATAATGGATATATGACCTATCACTTTGTTGTTTGTATGTACACTGAGAGCTTATGCACTGGAGACCAATTCCTTGTGTGTCCAATCACACTTGGCCAATAATGGATTCTATTCTATTGTACATAGCCTGGAATCCTTTGCTATTTGCCTACCTAGAGTTGCAGATCTCAGGCAAACAGAATGTTAACTCTCTTTCTTTTCCTTTATCCAGATCAAGACAACCCCTTTGATTATGGTAAGTATATCTTATTCTCTGCAATGTTTTCATAGTGTGTGTGTAGAAGTAGGGCTTATAGAAAGGAGGAAGCAATATGGGGAAAAATAGAATAGAATAGAATGGAATGGAATGGAATGCAATGCAATGCAATGCAATGCAATGCAATGCAATGCAATGCAA